CTGAAATCGAGTGCCTGCAGTCGGTGTCCTGACAAGAGATATCCGCACCAATGCGTGGCAGCGACTCATCAGACTGGACTCAGGACAAAAATAGTCCTGAAAGCGAGCTGTGAGCCTCTACCGCAGCTCCTGGGTGATGAAACTCAGAATGTCTCTGAATTATCTGGTGAATTAATTATGAATTAATTATCTGATGAACGTGACATGCTCTTGCTCTCTGTAAATAAAGCAAAGCACTTCCTTGTCCGACATTAAACAGAGCCCGACAGAGGAGAGAGGGGCGGGGAGGCTCTTGCTGCATCTGACCTCAAAGTGCACAAGCGTCCAACTTGAAGAGTTGGATGCGATTTTGAAGCTGAAATCGCGTTCGGTGTGAACGCAGCATAACACCTGTCACCTTTTATGTTAGGTTTTTAGACAGATCATCTGCAAAGGACTGAGTTACAGTTGTCAAACATCCTAAAGGCCCCGTGGTGTTTAGAAAGCATTTACCTACCAATGCAAATTTTGTCCAACAGGTTGGTGTAAGCTGCATAAGTTAGGTGTAAGTTTTCAACATTTCAGCACGATGGCCAGCCAATAACTTCGTACTAGGGATGGGAGGTATGACCTCAAATTCATATCATGGTATAAATTGAATCCCTTCATGGTAACGGTATATATCGTGGTAGAAAATTATCATAAAAAGCAAAGATAATGTAATTTTTAGAGCATTTATTTTGCAGAAAACTGTAATCATAATCAAACCCAGCATTTTTGCTGTAGTGCAAATGAACATAACAGAAGTACAAAGAATGTTTTTTATTTATTGCAAAATGGTTTCAACAACAAACAAAAACATTTCTCAAATTTTGGAAAGGGTTTCCAGCCCTCATAGCTCACACGTTACAGTACTAATTGAAGGAGATAAAAAAAATGGTACTTTTTGTTATAGCATCACTTTTCTGATTCTCTGTCAGGAGTCAAGTAAGGATTTTATCTTTTCTTTTTTTTTGAAGGTAAATATATGGTTAAGTAGATAGTTTTGTTTGACATTACTTTAAATTAAACTAGCAACACATTACGTTCTGTTTTATTTACTTTAAAGAAGTGAGGGGTAGGGAGACCATATTATGTTTTCTTGATACTGAGACTGGATGAGTAGCTCTCGGCAAACAGCCGACTTCAAAAGTAGCTCTTGGTTCAAAAAAGGTTGGGCACCCCTGTGATAGAGGTTACGCTCGTTTCTGACGTTATATGTCCATGTATGAGTAACTTTCATGTAACATGTGTGAACATATTTATCAGCAACACTTCTGCATACGGTGAAATTTTTGAGTATCTTCATATGACAACTAATGCCCTCATATATTAATGTGTCGGTAAGTTATTCTAAAATTACACCCAACTTCCATCAGCAAGTTTTGTTTTTAAGTCTTCAAGTTTTCTTTTATTAGACAATTCTTTTATGTCTCTTCAGCCATACCCGAAGTGTTTCGACTTTATGATTCCGTCTTTGTCAGAGGTGTCACAGTTGACCACGTAAAATGTTTGAAACATGTCAGGCATGTCTTCAGGACATCCTCAACATGCATGTTTTTGGACTGTGAGAGGAAGCAAGAGTGCCTGGAAAAAAAACATGCAAAGGAGAAAATGCAAACTCCACACAGWAAKACCCAAGGCCCAACCCTTCCTGCTGCGAGTCAACAACGCTAACCATTAGGCCACCGCAGTTTGGATCATTCATTTAAAATAGTAAATTTACTCTTGTGAATGTCAAAAATTACATCCAATTACATTTTGTTAAAAGAGTGAGTTGTTACAATTTGAAGGGGATAGAAATGTTTGTCAAACCTAAAGTTAGAACCAGCTTGAAGGAACRGAGTACTTCAGTCCAGGAAATTAAATTAGGGAATAATCTGGAAGATGATGTTAAAAATGCCAGATCAAAGTGTATATTTAAGAAAGTGATAAAGGTAAATCTGTTGGAGAAATATGTATGGTTATAAAGGCACAAATTGTTACTCAAGAAGGAACTAAACCTTTATTGTTTTTCTTTAAATTTGTTGTACGTTGTAAATTGAAGATTTTTTTGATTGAATTTATTTGAGAAAAAGGGGCAGAAATCATACGATTTTTTTTCTTCTTCTGCTACCTTTCATATAATTTCTGAAATTTTTTTGCATGTTGAATTTATGTTGTTTTGTTTTAAAT